CACTCATGACATTGATCGCCACCCAGTGATCAATCAGTTGTGAATAATCATCTAGATTTTATCAAAATGAGTTACATATAATTTAGGCTAGATATTTGTTTGAATAGTATAGAGAATAGGAGTCTCCTTATTTATGAACTGTGACCTTTAGATGGTATGTATAAGTTATAAGTATTCCATTATATATGTTTTCGAAAGACAACTGATTGAATAGTGATAAAATACAATGTAGGGAATTAGAGGAAACTCACAAATCAGATAACAAATCTGTGAATGTTCATGGCTTGAGGTGGCTGATATTAAAGTCACGTATTCATAACCACTGCAGATTAATAGCATACAATGTTGGTTAGTGTAAAGTTAGACGAATGTTAAGGATAGTCAAACTGAATTGTAACATCATTGTTCATTGAATGATTATTAGTTTGATAGTGTCTTATATATACATATTCCATGTTTCGTGTCTAAATAACAAACTTGGTCGATGAGTAGATACATTAGATAACATGGTTCACAAATGATCACAGTGATAGAGAAGTATTACTTCATTATCTAACCGAAGTTTTCGAGTTAAAAGATTGTCCCACGTTTTTACCTCACTTTTTCGCTTATTTTCTTCAGGCCAAATTCATTTTGTTAATTGTTTTACTTTAAAATACTTTGTTATTTATACTAATAGGTTATTTCCCAATATGCTGAATTCGTACAACAGCTAAAACTGGTCTCTATTCTTTGTCAGTTTCGCATTCTTGATTTATCTAACCATTAGTGTGTGCTGAATAAGAAAAGGAAAGAGTTGTCTTTATCTAGTTTAAGGGCTTGATGTGATAGGTTACTTAGCACAACCTTGAGATTTGCAATGTATGAATTTGATTATTGACTGAATAGTGTCGAGAAGGCAACGGAAGAAAACTATCCTACTTTGATCAATGTCTTGATTGGCTGAAAAACGAAGAGAGACGAGAATTTATCTGGAACTGTGTATCCGATTAATTCTTGACTCAACTAACTCACAAAGGTATATGAATTAATATATGAGGCTGACATGATCAAAGCGATAAAGAAATGAGAAAAATATAATCTCATCGAAACTAGGAAATCAGAGCAGAAAAATGGGAATACATGGATCACGTCTTCTTGTCTTAAATATTGTTGACGTATGACCAGAAGTAAGCTAACTTTAATTGTTATGTACTTTACGTCACCTAGAGCCCAAAAGAAAGTTCCTGAGCCTCAAACTTCTATTATTAAGACTCTACCATCTCATTGAATACAAATTACTGCCATGAATGAGCTACATACTTCAAGCAATATTGATAATAATTTATCTTAAAGCTTCATTGGTTCATCTCCTGTGTGTTATTCAGTTTTCAACTAAACCACAGTGCCACTGCTATATCCCTTTACATTGACAAGTGGAGATTTTCAGTCATGATTGTTAATTAAAATCAATGATGTAGAATTAGGAGCTTATGTATTTTTACATAAGTATTTCTGTCGTTCTTTAAATGTTTCTCGTTTATTTCGGACACAGTTTCCATACATCTAACTTAAATATGTTGAATAACTTAAATCCTGAGAATAAACACGAAATATCTGACAGACGAGATCTATGTTAATATACGTGGTTGAAATTAAGTAAACCAGCTACAGAACTTGCAAATCTCACAATCTACAGAACAGTTTATAATGATTTTGTTGGAATTGGAAATTTCACATTTTGAAATTCAGTTAATTTTCAAGATAACTAATGGTATTATTAAAACTTACTTAGTGTCAGTTGCTTGAATCTTCTCATTGATATTTACGACTGTAATCGACCAGTCTTTTATTGACATAAATCCATCGTGTGCGGACTACCTCGATATTACCTTAATTCATAAGTATTGTATGCAAAGATGGATAGTGGCTAGCAGTGGAATGCAGGATGCACGTTTCGTCCTATTTCAGACTCGTCAGCTGGATGTACCTGTATCTCGAAATTAATGTTCACTCTGGGACTCGAGCCCAATGCCGTTCACTTCAAACGCCATTGCGTTATCCACTTAGCTACTGAGTCCTGATAGCCACTAATTCCACTAGTTTCGAGTCCAAGAGTGAAAATCAACTCTGATAAATCCGAAACAGAACGAAACGCGCATCCTGAATTTCGCTAAATGAATTATTGTTTTGATGCCTAATTCATAATGTTCTTTATTTCATAGGTCAAGTATTCTAATTAGTAATTTGAGCAATTCATCAGTAATCTAAAATTCATTTATATTTAATGTCATAAGTACTCACACTTGAATATTCCCATACTGGAATAAAACTGGTTAAAACTGTGGGTTTTCAGCTGACTTTATATATCTGAATTACCTGTTCCTGCCATCTAAATATTTCAACAAGTTATCTGTTTCTTTATTTGTTATAACAAATTACTATGTCAATGATTTGTATAACTTATTCAAGTGCATTTGTGAAGAATTTATGACATTTTACTGTACACATTACAAAAATGTACAGTCGGAAACATCGTAATGGTTGGTAATGTGCATTGAAATGAATCAATATTATTCAGATGTCGACTTCTGAACTGTTAACTATCTAACTGGCGATCATTCAATATTTATTGTCAATATCGATCAAGAAATAAGAAACGCAAACTCGCTGAAATACTTTATGTTGAGAATTTTTTATTGTATCAAAAATATCCGATGGGTTTTGTGGAGATTTTAGTAATTTCAATGGTTAAGATCATGAGTCAATTGAAGCTAGACAATCATAGAAAACCTGGTAGCACTGGATGGCCGTTTCATCTTACTGTGAGACTTCTCAACAGTGCGCATCAACGATCCCATCTCACCAGATTCGAACCCAGGACCTATCGGTCTCTAGCGTGAACGCTTCACCTCTAGACCATTGAGATGGCCAGCATCCAACGGTGTTAATATCTAACTTCAACTAATCCATGAAATTGAGCGACACATCCACCATTGTCACCAGTGAGTTCCTATCTCACAAGTGACCTGGTTGAACTCCACTTGTCACTGCTTCTCACTAGAACTCTAGGATATACATCTTGAAGCCAGTCACTAGTGAGTATATGTTGAATAATATCATATGCGTTTTGTGGATATCATAGTAATTTCAATGGTTAAGATAATAAAATCAAATTTTCAAGCAATAATACATATCTAATCTTTTATAAAAGGAAGCTTTTTATTCAATTCACGTCAGATTAGCATACCGTATCATTTTCATTTCCTAAAAGTAAGTGTTGCTTTGAGGATTCAGCTGAAGACACTAAGGTAGGCAGTATTCCTCTTATGTTCTCCTTAAGGTGCGATTGTTACTCCTATTGTTTCAAATCGGTTACTCATGATTAATTGTATTAATAAAGCAAACAATGATAGGTTATACTTTAACAGATTTTTAATCGTTAATTGCTCTCTAGGTTGTATATGGTTCATATTATCTTGTCGAATGTTTTCTCTTAACATTCACTTAATGAGTAGCGTCACCAAATGTTCATATAGCAATAGTATCTAACCAAACAGGCTCTACAGTTGAAAGCATCTTGAATATATTAATGACCTACTCATAAATTGACATTCAATGTTCTTAACATTTGATTTACAGTTCCATCTTACTTTCAAACTAATTGTGAATATTCCTGTAGATTCAAGTTTCAAAAAGTTTTAAATAGTTTACTCCATTATCTCTACACGCTGTAGCTCTAATAGAATTTTTGATTATAATTAATTTACATACTTTCACTAGTAAACAGTTTCATATTCTAAAAATGTTAATTAAGATCAGGTTAGAAACAATTTAACCCATTAATTATAACAGATTTAACAAGATTATTTGTTATTTTAACTCCGTCTGGAGCCTCTCTGAGGTTACTGTCGGTCTCAAGGGTTTGGTGTTGGGAACGTTAGGCCCCCCAGAACTCATTTGCGAAAAGACCTAATTTTGTAATTTTATTTAGAAAACTTGAATTTCTTTGTTTTCGCGCGAAAGGCGCTCTTGTCACCTTCATGTCATATTTCCCACTGGGAAATATCTTAGATGCTATTGGTCCGTTGTGTCGTTTAGTATGCTATTTGGTAACTCTCCCCAAGGACTCTCTTGCACTGTATATATACGTTTTAAATTGTGTTTGTTGTTATCGCTCGTTTCTGGCTGTTTTGCAGAATATACTTCCCCATTCCAAGTATGGACTTCTCCCTGTAGTTAGCGGGGCTTAGACGCATCAATAGCTAGCTTACTGGTCTTTGGTCACTGAGTCTTGTTGTCGTTCGCCGATTAAGTCAACTCGTGATAGCTTCAAACCTAACATTTGGAAATAGAGTTAACGACCTCACCTCGCTAAAAGAAACACAACGCTAACGAGAAAAATAATTTATTTGTTAATTTAAATAGTGTAATTCATTCTACATTATCTTAACTTAAATAAATAATAATCTCCATGTTTATTATTATCTTTTTAAAAATATATTCGATTCAATTTTTATTCAATAACAACAACAATAAAAAATTAAGCATTGACATACCTTTGTTACCAGGAGCAACCAACAATCAATGTACACAGACAGACACACACACACATACATACATACATGCATACATACAAAATATACATTTACCCTTTCATCTATGTATTTGAATAATTAACCATGAAATGTAATAAATTTCTAAGGAAACAAATAACCTAACGATTAACTTAGAAATTACTAATCTTAATATTCAAATGATTTAAACATTCATTAGAGTATAACACTAACAAACAAACAAATAAACAAATAAAAGCATAACAATATTCAATCAATTTATGTCATTTGAATTTATCAATTTATTTTTACTTTATGAAATTAAAGTCTATTGTCAAGGTTACATAAACCTATTCAAATGACCTTAACAAACAAATGACCTTGTTTATTCATGATATATTATTAGTTTAAACAAAACAATAGAAACATATATACACATGAATAGAGGAAAGTTTTCTAATTCGTTTAAGGTAATGTATATATATATAGATTACTATGATAATGATTGTCTAATTAAAGATTAGTGTAAAAGTACTACAACAATTAATTAGTAACAAGATATATTTATATAATATACAAAGTGTAATTAAGATCAAATTGTACATTCAATATTGATCACCTGAGATATTCTTACACATTTTTTCCGGAACATTGAACCCTCATATTACCCATATCCATACATACATATACATACACACATACATACATACATACACAAACACATACACATAGACAGACATACATAAGTTAATTATTCTTCATCATTAAAAAAATAAAAGAAAATGGGATGTGGTGCAAGTGGATTGAAAGATTGTAAATCAGGTAAATTTTAATTAAATTTAATGATCATTATTGTTTGTTTGTTTGTTTGTTTTATCTTGGATTTCTTTTTCAAAAGTACATTTACTTAGATTTTACATGGATTGTATTCTATTTTCTTAATATGAAATTAATGAAGTTTAACTATAATTGATTGAAGTTAGACATTAACATAGTTCAATGATGGCCAGCTCAATCATTTAGAGATTAAGTGTTTACTCAAGAGACTGATAAGTCTTGGGTTCGAATCTTGCGAACTTGGGTCATGGATGTGTACTGTTGAGGAGCCCTATATTAGGATGAAACAGCCATTCAGTGCTTCTAGGTTTTACATGATAGTCTAGCTTCATTGGAATCATAAATTCAATTATTAAGTTACTATGATTAAATTGCTTTTTATTGACTGTTAATACTATTGATGATACTTTTGGATAGTTATTAGTCAGCTACAGTGTAGGATCAAGCACATATATGCATTAGTCCAATTCCTCATAGCTCATTAACACAAGAAGATGAACAACGAACTCATAGAAGTAGTTACTTCAATGGTGGTAAGATATAAAAGAAAGATTGTGTATATGGATAGAGTAAAGGAACAAATAATTAGTTTGCAGGAAGAAAGGTATAAAGCAACTGTATTCTCTTAGTTTAAGGGAACACAAAGACTGTATACACCGATGCCATTGTGATCGATTCTGAGCCATGTCACCAACAGTCTACAACCATTGGTTACGACAGTCGCGCGGACCCCAAAAAGTATTCTGTAACTACCAAAATGGCTCAGACAAGAAGTTAGTGTCTCCAAGCACTGATGCCACTTTTTGGTTTGGCCGCCCCTAACTTTCTTCCAACCATTTCCAACACTGGTTAGCATTGCACGTCTTGGTAATCGGTGTTCAGTCATACGTAACACGTGGCCCAACCATCTCAGCCTATGGAGATTCACAACCTCATCAATTGATTTACCATCATTCCTTAATACCCGGCTTCTAACCTCACTCATACTTACCTGGTGATCTCAGCAGATGCGAGCAATATTTATAACACTCTAGTGTAGATATAATTGTTTGAACAAACCTTATTCATACATACATAGTCTAATCATTAAATAAATGATATCTGTTGTGTACCCAAAATGTATATATTCTGAAAGAATATACAGTGAACTTTGTATTTCATTTGAGGTCTTTCAGATGCTCAACAAGTAGCTTGTGAGAGTAAGAGATGATTATTGAATTACTGAAATATACATGTATATCCAGTGGCAATTTTATACGAGTTTTTTTAAATTAATTCGATCACTGTGTTACATTATCTTTTGCTTTCTAAAGCAGCTAAGAAACTTGATATAACAGAACTTGTAAAAATAACTAAACAGTCATTAAGGAATTGAACAAGTCCATTACCGTAAATGAGAAATATTTTAAAGGTGATAATTTTAATATACTGTTAAATTTATAAACTGAAGTTTTATTGAACTGAACTAATATCAGACTATGTTCATCCGTCGGTCAGTAACAACGTAGAACTTCGTACGTACGTAAATCAGTTCGAGTCGCCATGCCACATTAGAACAGAGATGCAATTGTCGATTCAAATCTCATAATGGTAGAGATAGTAAAAGTATAAGCATTAATCGGAAACATTTGGGTTTGGAGATGTTATTCAAGGAGTATAATCCAGTGAAATAAATTTGGAAAGAAAATGAGGGACATGAGGAATCCAGAAGATTAGAATTTGGGAGAGCACAAAGAGTGGATGCACCTGGGCCATTGCAAACGATTTTGAGTCATGTCATTCAAGGTCTCTAACCATCAGTTGCTATCATCTCAGGGTCCCCAACCAGGTAGTCTACACCTACCAACATGGTTCATTCTACTTGTTAGTGACTTCATGGATTTGTGCCATGTTTTGGTCTGGCCGCCCCTAGCTTTCTTCAAACTTACTCCTATACCGTAAAACATCTCACGTCGAGGCAGTCGGTGGTTGGGCATGCGTAACACATTCACCATGGAACTGGAATTAGTTCATTCTGAAGTAAGATGTTATACAACGCTTTCATGATGGTCCATATACATGTATACATAATGGATCACTAAAGTAGACGAACTGAATCCAATGACTAAGGGCCTACTCAAATTAGACAGGAATTGTGTGACCAACAGGTTAACGCCAAACTCATACCTCGCAGTTAGTACCTAACGTGAATTACCCTTTCGTTGTATCCAGATGTACTATGTCTGCTTTGATGACTGTACAACACAAACAACGTTATTATCCGACTGCTGGGCCCAGTGACATTTCACTGCCCTACATATATGTCTCATTATTTGTGTGTTGGTGAGCTCGTAAATTGTAACATTACAGACTTTTACTGAATACAGATAGCATGAATTTACTTCAGCAATCAGACCGTTGAAATGACATTTGAAATTCTTAATATATATAACAACTTTAAACAGTCTCTTCTTTAAATTCAATAATCATTAAAAGCAACGATATTAATAAAACAGGTTTTTGATGTGAAAGATATCTTAGTTATCTTAATCCATTTACATACTCATCCACTAATAACTTATTAATTTTATATGCCTTGTACTTTTACACATCTTTTAGAAATTACCTAATCTTTCTTTGTTATGGTTTACATAATATAACCTAGTATTATAATCTTTGTATGACATCATCGTGTTGATTCACTATTCATATTCCCTCACCAAAATAATTAATACGTCTAACAGAAACATATTATTCTGCTTAGTTCCATATGCTCACTAGTGACTGGCTTCACAAGGTTTATCCAGGAGTCCTAGTGAGAGGCCGTGACCAATGGAGTTCAACTAGGTCTGTTGTGAGATATCATCTCACTGGTGACATTGGTGAATGTGTGGCTCGATTTCGCAGATTAGTTGAAGTTAGACATTAACACAGTTGAATGCCGTCCGGCTCAGTGGTCTAGTGGTTAGGCACTCGAGCGCGAGACTGATAAGTCCTGGGTTAGAATCTCGTGAAGGGCGTGATCGTGTATGCTCACTGCTGAGGAGTCCCTTGATAGGACGAAACGGCCGTCCAATGCTTCCAGGTTTTCCATGGTGGTCTAGCTTCAACTGACTTATGATCTTAACCAATCAAATTAGTTCCATATTACCTTAATCAGATGACCTCCGATTGATTAATATGTTCATGATAAACCATCATTTTGAGTCATATAAATGTGTACCCAAAAGCTAAACAACCGTTGTTGGACAACTTACATTTGGAGGAAAAATAGCCTCTTCTTAATCACATTTCTAGTCATTAGTATTTTGTCGTTAATAGAAGAGTGTAGGTCAATCGATGAGTAAATTCTACAACGCGTTAATTCTGATTCAAATTGTCAAACCGCAATTATTACCCTTAGTCATTTACTTGTTCAAACTAGTTGACAAGAGGTGAGTATGACTGAAAAACTGACATAATAATTTAAATTAAAAATTCAAGTGTGAACTCTGATGAATATAACACGGTCATGATCCAAACCACTTTTGCCACTTTTAATCACCGTCCTTATCACTATGTAACCTGCTTTCGATATTTGATGTTTCTGTTGACGGATTAACTTCGATTAAACAATGGGTGAAGAACAAGAAATGCTGGACAACTGTTCTGCTCAAGTATATGACTTAACAGAATATCACGTCCACGTCATCATTAAGGATCGAATCCAGGACCTTTAGGTCTCATAATATTTCGATAAGAGAAATTTTCAAACAATTTAAAATAATAAAGTAATCATACTTTATTTTGCCTAGTTAACAATCTATCAAGTAAACCTTAAAGTCCAGGTCATAGATATTGTCAAACATGGAATTACTTTGTTTACTAAACTATCTTTATCTTTTTCAACCAAAAGAAATTTACTATAGACAAAACTAGGAAATAGTTTTATACTTGAATAGTTTATAAGCAAGTTAACTATCAAGTTGGTTTATAGAAGCCATCTCCATAAAGCGCTTTGAACCTGACCTATGTAAATGTTCAAATAAGAATTTTAAGTAAAAAAAGCAGATCATTTGGTCAGGTAGTGAATCTTCATAGAATAAAGTAGTTGAAGTGTGTGTGATGCATCCTGAGCTACTGCCTACCTCGGTGTGTAATATTTTCTGATATGAAATTAGCTTAAGTTGGCCAAATAAAGACATGGCTTTAGTAAATGATGTCACTGTCTAGTGAATTGGAACGCGTACGCAGATGCATACAACGTGGTTGAAGTCCTTCCGATTATCATAACCACTGACTGGAGACGTTTGTCGACATAGTTATTAGTTAGTGCCAACAGTATAAGCTAATTCACTTCTTGTTATCGCTTAGAACCTGAGTTTTGATATTGTTTTATACATCCCATTTTACGGATTCTCTTTTTCCAAATCATATTGTCTATGTTTTATAATACTACTGATACTATTACGACTTGTACTAAAGTTGCATTCACTTTAATGATTTCATCTTATTGTGCTAGTGTAGTACGATAATTTGAATCGACACATGTATTTGGTTATATGTTACATATGACCGATTGATTAACACATCAACTGTATCTTAAACTTATCTTTGAAATGGTAGTGTAATTTCTCATATTATATAATCTATTTTCAGACTATCGATTGTTGTTTACTAATCTCGTTAATCCTATTTCAAATATGCAATTTAAACTGAATAATTATAATTGAAGACAATGTAAAATGAATTTTGAATTATCAGTTTAGGGGTTGTGGAGATTGTTAAGTTTTCGATTGAGATCATGAACCGAATGATGTTAGACCACCATTGAAAACTTGGAAGCACTGGACGGCCGTTTCGTCCTAGTAAGAGACTCCTCAGTAGCGCGCATCCACGATCCCGCCCGCGGGATTCGAACCCAGAGCCTTCAGTCTCGTGCGCAAACGGTTAACCCACTGGACCACTGAGCCGACATGGAATGGTGTTAAAGTCTGACCTCGACCAATCCACAGAATTGCACGGCCATCTTCCATTGTACTGAGGTAGACACCTGTTTCTACCCAACACGGATTAGCTCCACTGGTCGCGGCTTCTCACCAGAATTTCGAGAATTTTCTCACGAAGCTACTCACTAGTGAGCACATGGTAATTATTAGTATAGGGGTTGTGGCGATCGTTAAGTTTTTGATTGAGATCATCAAAAGATTGATGTTAGACCACCAGTGAAAATCTGGAAGCACTGGACGGCCGTTACGTTTTAGTATGAGACTCCTCAGTAGTGAGCATCCATGATCCGGCTCACAGGATTCGAACCTAGGTTAAGCATTTGCGCGCGAGACCAAAAGCTACTGGTTTCAAACCTTGCATGCGGGATCGTAGAACCGAAAAGTTTCTTCTGTTCTTTCTTCATACTTCATTCTCAGTTGAATAAATTTTATTTTATTTTTTTCATAAAAGTTGATCGGATTTCACAAGTTGACAAAATCAATTGTTATTTGGTTAAAAAATCATTTAAAATAGAATTTGTACATTGATTATGGTGACTTTTATGAAAATGTCCAAAAGAGAACATTTAGGTTATATGATTGATTAATGTATTGTGAATGTCGATGTTTGTTTGTTTGTTTTTTTTAGTTAAAGGGATTGTGAAGTTAAATTTTAGTAGGAAACTATTTAAATGATTTCATGTATTCGATTATAAGAATATCAGTTAAAAACTAACTAATTCTTTAAGCAAAGATGGATAGTGGGTAGTAGTGGAATCTAAGACGTGTGTTTCGTCCTATATTGGACTCGTCAGCTGAATTGATGTTCATTTTGGGACTCTAATTGTTTTCTGAATAGCTTACTGATTATTGTTAAAGTAAAGTGTTGTCTTTTTAAAAAAGATTGAATGAGTATAATAGAATGTTACATATGCCTTATAAAGAAATAAGTAGTACCTACATTGTTAAAATGGCTTGATAATTGAAATCTGAATCTAGCAAAAAGCAAAAACAATAAATGCAAACTTTCAATATATGAATTCATTATATTTTGCGGTTTCTCATCAGCTGCATGTAATCCCTAAACATTAGAAATCAGCTTACATCCTTTATATGACAACATTGAAATGTTCTAATCAATGAAGACTTATGAACAAAGTAATAGAATTGTAATAACTATAGAAGATATTTGTATGCTAATCAATGTGGATATTTATAGGTTAAATATCCTAGAATAGAAACAGAACATAAAATGTAGATGAAGTTTTTTGTTGTTGAGTTAGATGGTTTAGTCTTGGAGCTTTCATTGGTCTTCTGAACGACATAATCAGCACAAACTTCAGAACATAAATAAATTAAGTTGACTTCAATAGCTTCTATCCAATAAACTACTAAAGAACTTTGATTTAAATGTTTTTTTAGTCGTGTCATAAAATTATGATAAATTAATCAAAGTTGGACTTTATGTGAAGACTAAAATGAAGGTAATAGAATATGTTATGGTTGAGATGAAGCCTGTCTTCTTAAGACTTAGATTTAAGGGTAATGAAATAGCTGGAAAGATTAATTTGAAATTAATATTAAGGATGTTTTCAGCTATTAGGCTAATCTATCTACATCAAATGAACTGTTGATTATGACAGTCATATGTGGAAAAATTCCCATTTTATATGGAACAACAATAAAGAGCTAGTATTTTTTGTCTTATCAAGGACTCGATAATTGTATGTGCCTAGATCTATATTGATATTTAAACAGGAGTTTGAACTCTGCTACTGAATATAGTAAGTAACATTTGTACATGTGACCTTCATGAATAGATCCCCTATCGTGTCTCCATTTATAGATTGACAGTGTTTTGCAAAAATAAACTAGAAATGGTACGAAAAGATATATGTTCTCCCCCATTGTCAACATCAAGCCTAAGATTCATGTTAGGATGTGCAGAAAAATATACCAATAGTTATCATGTTAAGTCTAATGTTGTCCTTGGACGCTAAATGTACATTCCCTATTGGTCGACATTTACTTCACTTGTTTAATATTGTGTAAATGTTGTTTTCTATTTTTATGGTACGATGTGGTATGTTTGGTTAGTATATAAATAGAGTATGTCTGAAATACAATGATTCATATCTCAGAGGCTGTGACTTGCGTTCTGGACTCAACTGGCTGGGATAGACAGGGAAGCGGGACCAATCGGGACTTTAGGGTCGTTCGTACGTGTTTACGTGTCACTGTAACCGATCAATAAAACGCCGCGTATCAAAACCTGCAGTCACCCGTTACAACAATTCAGACGTATCCAACTGCAGAAATAAACTGTTACTTACTTACTAACTTACTTACTTACACCTGTTACTCCTCGTGGAAGAGCATGGGCCACGCACCAGCACTTTCCATTCAACCCTGTCCTGAACAATTCTTTCCAGCTCTTTCCAATTCTTATTCATAATTTTCATACTTTTCTATTTCCTGACGTAATGTGTTCTTTGACCTTCCTCTTTTTCGCTTCCCTTCACGATTCCAAGTTAGGGCTTGCCTCGTGATGCAGTTTGGTGCTTTCCGTAATGTACTTCGTATCCACTTTCAACGTCTTTTCTTGATTTCCTCTTCAGCTGGAGGCTGATTTGCTCTCTCTCACACTAGGCTATTGCTGATAGTATCTGGCCAATGGCTGTTGAGTATCTTGTGTAGACAACTATTTATAAATACTTGTACCTTCTTGATGATGGTTGTTGTAGTTCTCAACGTTTCAGCTCCGTACAGTCTAAATCTAATCAATATCTTCTGGAAATTTATTAATGTATTAACATAAGAATTAAATTTCTTTATCTGTCATTTAATTTCTCTTTATTATTAAATAGAAGTAGCCGAATCGACGAATGATAATCCTGCTGATAATACAGAAATAGAAACTGAAGAACACAAAGAAACAAACACTAATCATATAGTTCCTGTATTATCAAGTGAACAATTGGATCTTCCATCAAATAATAATCAAAATGATGAACCCAAAGAAGAAATTCCATACAATCAAGAAATGCCAGACGTTTCAGCGATTACTGAACAACAACCAGATTTAGATTTAAAAAATGACGTAAATGTAAGTACATATCTTTTAGAAAATAAAGAACACTTGAATTTTAGCACACAAAAGAAATTAATTTACACCATATATTTCCGATTTATTGTTAATTTTAGATATGAACAGGTTAACCAGTGAGGTACCATATTTGTTATTTTAGACTATATAGCAACCGATGGTTAGAGACCTTGAATGACATGACTCAAAATAGTTTGCAATCGCGCAAGTGTATCCCACACTTGGTGTTCTCCCAAAATCTACTAAATTTTTCATGTCCCTTTATCTTTCTCTTTCTAAATTTATTTCAGTGGATTATACTCCTTGAATAATATCTTCAAACCCTGATCTTTCCGATTAATGCTTATACTTTTACTATCTCTACCACCATGAGATTTGAATCAACAATTGCATCTTTGTTCTAATGTAGTCTGGCAACTCCAACTGATTTACGTATGTACGGAGTTCTACGATGTTGCTGACTGACTGACTGATATAGTTCATCAATTCAAAGAATGTTTTATGGGCGATATAATTACAGTTTACATTACGGACTGAATTTAATCAGAAAAAATATTGAAAAACGGAGATTAATGAATGACTATTTTGTTCTATTATAGGACTTCTTAGAAGTGTCTCTACACGACTCCAGTATAAATCGAACCCGTAAACGTTTAGACTAATAATGAGCATTCAACATTTTAAAAATTAAGCCCAGTTCTCAGTAGTTTTAATCTCTAGCTTCAGTCGAGTTGTAATGTCATATGAACATCATCCCAACTGTAGTAATTACTGTCACCAATCCTTCAGATGATAAACAAGAGACAACACTACTAATTTACTAATCTCAATTGTTTTGTTACCATTAATGAAAAAACATTATAAATGGATACTTTAACAACTCATAAAGTTATACCTTGAATGACATTCAATAATGCTTATTATGTATGATCTAAGAGCCGTTATTCACTTGGTTTGATCGTATCATTTTACCATAGCTGGATCATATAATATTACTCTTATTATTCAGTTTAGGATATAACACCTTTTGTAATCTAGTATTTCAGTAAATAATTCCTAATTGCCGTAAAAAAATTTAAATTGAACCTTATTATTAATGAGAATCTTGACCCTGTCACATACAGAACATAGAATATAAACGGCAGGTTGTAATCATTTGATTCATAAATATGTTAAGAGAAACATTTTCTAGAATGACTTGTGATTTCCCATCAAAAATACTTTATAGTTTACTACATGAACAGACATTAGTTGGACAATTCATAAAAATCTACCCTTGACATTAAAGATATTTGAGAATTGACGTGAATTAATTGAAGTTCAATACATATAAAGTATTGGATATCAACTTAGTGTATTATAGTTTCAGCACTCATAGAGTGTCATGAAGGTCCTCGATTTGATCAGTGCTAATGAAGAGTCCCGTACGAGGAAGAAACAGCCGTTTCGTTTTTCCTAGTTTTCACACGTTGTCTAACTAAAATCGGTCCGTGAAATAAGGTTTCAAGGTGAACAATTTTCACAACTATCCCTATTCATAGTGTAGTGAACGAGAACACCAGTGGGGACAACCAAATGTATTTGAACATAAAATTACAGAATCTCTTAGTAAAATCTGAGAACCATATAATAAATCTTTCATTTGCAAAATGTTAATTACTCGTCACAGATATCATTGTTCATTCATTTCTATACCAATAATTCTCTGTTCTCATTCTTCTTTCTTCATAACCTTTTGTTACTAGACATTTTACATTCGATTAATGATACATACTACTTATGTCTGTCGACATCAGTAGCACTCACCACAGTATCAGTAGCGATGATGATTAGAAGTAACAGAATGGAAAGTTGTAAATGAACAAATTCTGAAACTCATGATTTAAAAACGTATCTTCACTGGTATGAGTGATATTTAAACGATATTACTTAAAGTTTATAGTCAATGATCATAGTTATCTCATGGATTTAACTAGGAAGCAATCAATAACTTCATAAACTGATACCATTTCTTGGTTTGACGATCATTGGTTTTCTTTCAACCTACTTGTACATTAACCAATATCATCCTAACACATGTTTCCAAAAATATTCAACATGTAAGATCAGTGGAAATAAAAAGAATGTTTTAGTTGTAAATTAGGATATCTTTCGGTACTATCAACTTAAGATCTTGGTATCCAAATGTATATTGAATACAGTGATTATAGTTTAATTACACTTTATTTCCCTGATTGAAATCATGAGTCAGTTGAAGCTAGATCACCATGAAGAACCTAGAAACACTGGACCTATTGGTCTCGCGCCAGGCGCTTAACCAACTAGACCACTGAACTGGCCGGCACCCAACGATGTTAATGTCTACTTCAACTAATCCACGAAATTGCGCCACCGTACACCATTTTCTTCAGTGAGTTGATATCTCACAACAGACCTGGTTGAACTCCACTGGTAACGGCTTCTCACTAGAACTCCAAGAGTATCTCTTGAAATCAGTCACTAGTGAGCAGATGATTAGTTTCAGAAAAGGTTTTGTGGAGAATTTAAAAATTTCACTGATTGAAATCATGAGTCAATTGAAGCTAGACGAAGACAAAATTATGATAGAACAACTTGACTTATGAACATTAAAATCGTTGGAAGCCGGTTCAGTGGTCTAGTTGGTTAAGCGCCTGGCGCGAGACACACACACACACACAAAACCTCTTCTGATACACTTTGTTTGCCAGAAAATCTCACCTGTATTATGTAACATACAATATAAAGTCGTGAATAATAGTTTGATTATTCATTTATGCCAGTGTAATAGTATTTCCATAAAGGTTAGTTTATTCCATCGTTGCTTCTTTTTTTTTGTTTTCGTTTTGAAGTTTGATTATGTCATCCATCTGTAATCGTTCATCGTTTATTTTTTCTTCTCTTATTTGGTCACTAATTAAAACAAATAAACGAAACATTGATCAATTTAGGTGAATAATTCAATAAATCATAAACATTTAATAAAATTTTGTACACCATGTCAACCATTGTATTCTAATAATAATAATATTGAAAGTATACATAGTTACTAATGAACAGTTTGCTTCATTGTTATATACAAGTAAGTATATATGTCAGTAGATAGTCAAAATAGGTATTAGTCTACTAGTTAGTTAGTTAGTTCAGTGATAAGTTAGATTATATTATACACTTAAATGTTGTTGAATGATCACTTTGTTATAATTGTTGCTATGATTGAATGTATAGATGTTGTACTTGAATAAAACTAATTATGCATTGATTTCAACATTATATCATGCATTCATCCTCACAAGGTATCACAAGGTCAAACAATAGATGGGTAATGATAAACAAGATACGTTGTTAGATGAAGTTGATTGTTCATCTAGTAAAGACCTTAGCCAATATGTCTTCGTCTGGATTAGAAAGATAGATGTATATATACACATGACTTATACATATTTTATTTCGTTTCCCAATGAAAGATTCTTAATCTTTCCACGATGTTAGTGATTCGGCAAGCGTATATGAAATGTTTATGATCAATTTGATTCATTGTTATAAACGGGTGAGTATATATGTTAGTAGATAGTGAAAACACGTATTAGTCTACTAGTTAGTTAGTTAGTTCAGTGATAAGTTAGTTTATATTATACACTTAAATGTTGTTGAATGATCACTTTGTTATAATTGTTGCTATGATTGAATGTATAGATGTTGTACTTGAATAAAACTAGTTATGTATTGATTTAAACACACACACACACATAGATATGTATAACATTTGGTTCTCATCCTATCCAACCACTTTCATATGTATGAATTCAATTTGTATTTGATATCTTCTTGTCTAGTTCGATTGGTATACAAATGAAGGAAAAGTACCAGTTCACTATTCTTTGCTTCTAAAACAATTGTGCTTTTGAAATAACAAATGTGAATCAATTTTCAGGGATTGTCATTCAATTGTTATCGTTTATAAATGTATTAGCGAAATGTATATTCATTATGACTGAAAATGTAATTTCAGACTGATCAAAAAATCTAAGATAATTTCCTTTCATGTAAACGTATTTAGGAGGTTTTTCGAAGATTATAGTCATTTTAATAGTTGAATTCATGAGTTGATAAAAGCTAGACCACCATGGAAAACCTGGAAGCACTGGATTACCGAGAACAGGATCGTAGATGCGCACTGTTGAGGAGTCCTATACTAGGACGAATTAACCGTTCATTGTTTACAGATTTTCCATGATGATCTAGCTTTAATCCACTCATGAATTGATTTATTGAAATATTTATTATTCATTAATTTCAATAGTTTACAATTGTTTAATCAATTTTTCTTAATTTCAATTATCGTTCAATATTGTTTAACATTAAGACATTTGAATTCATTTGTACTGGTTGTTAAAATCTTCCTGGTTAGCGCTTTTTAGCTAGGTAATTTTCTACGGGATGGGTTCGCTAACCCCATGCCCAACCCTCCTCCTTCATCCAGGCTTAGAACCAGCAGTAGCCCAAAGAGGGGATCCAGGCGGAGTTAAAATCTTCCACTTGATGTTTAAGACTATAATTGATTAGTCTCTGATTGGCTTAAGTACATCTAATACGGATTATCAGTCTATTGTCTTAAATCATAACCATTCTAAGTAGAAACGAATGATCGCTAATAGTGTAACCGATGACTTACATATTTCATTCTATTTGAGACTCATCAACCGGACGTAACAACATCTCAGAATTTATGTCTACTTTGAGACTCAAAACTGGTATCATTCACCTGAAACGATCTCATATCTTACATTCAACTGTTAGTCAACATTCATCTCTGATTAATTTATGTTTAATAATTAACATGTAAAATGTTTCAATGTGTATATTCATTCAATTTAATATTTTCTATTTCAATCATTTTAGCAATCTGAAGAATGTAATAAAACTGATGACAATGTAACAGAAAATTAATCATCTTTAATTTGTATTTATTATTATACAAATGAACATTTATTCCTGGATCTAAACAAAATCAACATGTTCTTTTAAGTAATTAATATGGCTTTCAGGTATATTATTATTATTATTATTATTATTATTATCAGTGATTATATTGTCTTCGTCGTCATCATCATCATCATCATCATCATTATCATCATCCTTATTAACAATGAATTATATCGAAAATCAATATTATTCCAAAATTTCATTAATCCATAATTGAATGAATCCTGATTAGATTGATTTCATATTTTCCCTCAATTGGAAACAACATATATATTTAATTATCTATACAGACAAACGATTGTTTACACTGGGACTATTCATTAATTCTAATTGAGTTACACTAAAATCAATAAGTGACTCAATTCTATTTTTGTTTTGTTTTTTTTGTTTTCTCAAGAAATCTATTATCGATAAATGTTACTGATGGTCAATATTTCGATTATAAACACACACACACACACATACATACACTCATAAACACACACACACACATGCAGAGATTCATAGCCTGGTATTACCATTTCTATAAACGTAATGATCATACTTCAATAGGAATGTTAAATGTTAAGATTTGTATATTGATGATAACAATAAAAGAAAGTTAATCACTTTTCTTTTTCTTCTTTTTTTTCTTCTTTTTCTTTATATAATTGTGCACAGTTTGTATTGTTTGTTGTTGTATTGGTAAGAAATTAGATTCATTAAGGCTTTGTGTATTGTTACTGAAATCTTTTATTAATCTTTGATAATTTGTTCATTTATGATAATAGATTTGTATTAATTCCATTTTTATTATATAGAATGTTCATAGATGGTTGATCAAATAATATGATATGAATAGGAGTTAGAAAAAGGGAAAGAAAGTTACAGAATATAAGATTGAGTATGAAAATTTATATCAGAAGGGATTTTGTGGAGATTGTAGTTATTTCAATTGAAGCTAGACCACCATGATCTCAAATATTTAAATTCTTACAATCTTCACAAAACCCATTTTGATACTCATCAACATATGTTCACTAATGACTGACTTCAAGATGTATATCTTGGTGTTCTAGTGAGAAGCAGTGACAAGTGGAGTTCAACGGTGTCAGTTGTGCGATAGGAACTCACTGATGACAGTGCTGAAATAGTTGAAGCTAGACGTTAACACCGTCGGATGAAGGTCAGTTGGGTTCTCTAGAGGTTAAGCGCCCGCGCATGAGGCTGATAGATCGTGAGTTCGAATCCCGCGGGCGAGATCGTGGATGTGCGCTGCTGAGGAGTCCCACATTGGGATGAATTGGCCGTCCAGTGTTTCCGGGTTTTTCATGGTGGTCTAGCTTCAAATGACTTGCAATCTCAATCATTGAAATTACAATAATTAATATCAAACATAGTAGTTAGGCCTAATATGTATATTATTTACTTACTTACTTACGCGTGTTACTCCTAATGGAGCATAGGCCACCCAACAGCGATCTCCAATCCACTCTGTCCTGGGCCTTCTTCTCTAGTTCCATCCAATTCTTGTTCATTTTTCTCATGTCTATCTCCGTTTCTCGAAGTGATGTGTTCTTTGGTCTTCTTCATCTCCTTTGGCCTTGAGGATTCTATGTGAGGGCTTGTCATGTAACGCAGTTCGGTGCTTTCATCAACGTGTTTCCTACCCACTTTCAGCACTTCTAGCTAATTTCTCCCTCCGCTGGGATCTGGTTTGTTCTTTCCCACAGTTGATTGTTGCTAATAGTGTCAAGCCAACAGATCCGAAGTATTTTGCGTAGACAACTGTTAATAAACATCTGTATCTTCTAAATGATGGCTTTCGTAGTTCTATAAGTTTCCACTCCATACATCAAAACTGTCTTGACATTTGTATTAAACCGTCTTACTGAGGTATTGACAGTTGAAAGTAGCTTTGAGTTATAGATGCTCTTGAGCTGTAATTACACTACACTTGCTTTGCCGATCCATGCCTTCACATCTGCATCAGATCCACCGTGTTCATCAATAATATTGTCCAAATATGTAAAGGTTTTTACATCTTCCAAATCTTCTGGATTGGTGCATGCTGTGTTGTATGAGAATATCTTGCTTTTCCCTTTGTTTATATTGAGACCTACTGCAGTCGAGGCTGCTGCTACACTGGTCGTCTTCTCCTGCATTTGTTGTTGCGATTGCGATAGGAGGGCCAAATAATCTGCGAAGTCTAGATCGTCCAGCTGCATCCCTTCAGATGTTGACGTCTTCATGATCCAGTCGATCACCAGGATAAAAAGAAAGGGTGAGAGTAAGCAACCTTACCTGACATCGTTCTTTACCTCGAACGAGTATGTCAACTGTCCTCTATGCACAATTTTGCAGTTTAATCCATCATACGAATTCCGTATGATATTGACTATCTTCTCAGGTACGCCGTAGTATCAAAGGCGATGAATTCCATTCAAGTGATTGTTCCACAATGATCCATAGAGCAATATATATAAGCTATTCTAAATAAGAACTTTCGTCTAAATTTGATTGAATAGTTTTACAGTATTTGGGTGTCGAGTTGATGTGTGACATTAAAGAGGAAGAATGTATTTGTAAAATCTCAGCGTGTACACAATAATGTAAATACCTACTTTAAACATTGGTTGGATGACCTATTCAGTATACAGTGAACTGGAGATGCATGTACCTATAATTTTGATGTTTGATTACATTTCCTTGAAAAAGCTTGGACCAAATTGTCAGGCGAAACGTCGGATTTACTTCAAGTTCACTCAATGAGACTTTACAAATGCATTCTTGCTCTTTAATTAAGATATTCTGTTGATTCTCGTTTTATTATTTGACATATTTACCATTGGAAATTCTTAAAAGTCAAGAATTCCATTGAATCCAAATATGTAAAACTAAACAGCATGTTTATTTGCTTAACACTTCATCTATATCCTGGGAAAATCTCTTTAGAATTAGGCAGTATTTCGAGTTTAAAAGTCAAATAATATATGACATCGGGAAAGTTTTATGAGATTAATGCTTCAAGCATTTGGTATACAAGAAACATCAATATATTACATTGGTTTATTGTTGATTAGGATCAAACAAGTATCTAAATGTTATCAACTAATTAAATAAGGTGAATCTTATTGATGATCAGAATTGGGTTGAGTCGTTTAAAGCTAGATCACCATGGGGAACCTGGAAACGATGGACGGCTGTTTCGTCCTTGTATAGGATTCCTCAGCAGTGTGCATCTATGATTCTGCACACAGGATTCGGAACCAGGACCTACGTTCTTGTGGACGAACGCCTAATCTTTAGACCACTGAGTCGGCGATGGACGGTACTAGTGTCTAACTTCCATCGATCCATTCATCCATTGTCTGGGGTAGATACCTGTCTTTACATGATATGGAATGGACTCCTCTGGTCATGGCTTCACACTAGAACTCTATTTATTTGGAATTGATCAATTCTAATGAACAATGAAATCTTACTTAGATCACTTCAATCAGTGTAGATATTCACATCTAGATCCTTTTCAGAAATAACATCAAACATTTATCATATTCCGATTTTCCCATTTTATTAAACAGAAAAAGTTATCACATTGGTTTCTATAGACAAATAAACTGTCAGTCAGTCAGTGAACTACAACGTAGGACCAGGCACATATATGCATCGGTCCAAGTTTCCATACCGCATTAGCACAGCAAGATGAACACCAGATTCATGGGAGTATTTAAGTCAATGGTGATAATATATAAAAAAGATTGCATATAAGGATAGAGTACAGGAAGAAAGATTTAGTACGTAGAAAAAAAGATATGAAGCGATTTTAATCCCTTAGTTTAAGGGAAGAAAGAGAGAGTGTATACACTGACGCCAGTGTGATTGATTCTGAGCCACGTCACCAAGAGTCTATAAGCATTGGTTACGACAGTCATACGGACCCCAACCAAGTATTCTGTATCTACCAGCATGGCTCATACCCGAAGTTTGTGTCTTCAAGCACTGATACCACGTTTTGGTTTGGCCGCCCCTAACTTTCTTCCAACCATCCCCAACACCGGTTAGCACGGTAATCCGTGTTCAGTCACTGCAACACATGGCTCAACCATTTCAGTCGATGAAGATTCACAACCTCATCAACTAATTTCCCATCATTCCTTAATACTCTACGTCTAACCTCACTCTTACTTAGCCGGTGATCCCAACAGGTGAGAGCAATATTTCTAAGACATCTGTGGTCAAATATTAGTAGCTTACGAGTATACCAAATAGAACATATAATTTTACTTTAAGGGTTATTGTAGTTTGTTTTTATTGAGAAGAGGAATATTAACTCGTTGATAGACTAGTATAAATACATTAAATTAATACGTCATATTTCAATTGTTTTTAACTGTTCTTTAAAAAAAAACATAAGAAGGATGCACACTACTCATAGTTAACAATTGCCCTGTATATATATAATACCAACATACTTTATGGAAACTTTAATGATTCCCAAATGATAACAATACAATGGTTAACATTGTTTCTTCTATATACGACATGCTGTTTATATTACATTAGATGAAAAAAGAAACATTTCTCATGTAGTTCCATTATATATTATTTGTATTAGTTACTGTGGAGAAAATGTTGTCAATAGAATGAGAAAACTAAACGTCACTATGGTAACGTCAGCTGTGTGATGAACATAATGATTAGATGATAATGTTAGTTATGTTTTTATTCAACTTTATGAAATTAATTTAGTTTTATGAATTACACTAGTTGAAATCATGAGTCAATTAAAGCTAGACTACCATGGAAATCCTGGATGCACTGGACGGCCGTTCTGTCCTAGTATAGGACTCCTCAGCAGTACGCATTCAATTGACTCATGATTTCAACTAGTGAAATGTCTAAAAATTTCCACAAAACTCCTGATTTTATGATTTAGTATAATTATGAAATTTGTAAAGAAATAATATAGGTGTCATTTCATATTAGTTAGCTAATGATGATTAATATTATGGGGTAACTATAACTATACTTAGCTAATTTCACAGGTTGAAACCATGAGTCAATTGAAGCTAGACCACCATGGAAAACCTGGAAGCACTGGACGGTCGTTTCGTTCTAGCATCGGACTCCTCAGCAGTGCGCATTCACTGTAAATTCATTTGGTGTTTAAATCAATTAGTCCCTTTT